ACTATAAGGGCTGCGCAACGGCTACACCAAAATCAATTTTTAAAGCAGAATGTTGCTTGTATTGTGGCACTGACCTTCGACTGCAAGATATTTTCAATTCAAACCTCTAAATCCGCGTCAGACACTTTGATTCTTGTCTCGTCTACACGAGATTATGTCAGCGCAAGGCGGGAAAGGCAGCTCCAGGCGGCTAAACCTGTGACGTACGAGACTTATGACTTCCAAATATGGATCCAGGCGGACACTGCTGTGGCGTGTGACTTCCAAATATGGAAGCGCCCCAGGCAAAATTTTGAAGAAGAACGCCCTCAGATTGTCGCTGTTCGTCAGAGCTAGTGAAAGTGACTCCAAGGTATATTAAATATTAAACAAACTAACTTTCACGTTGCTCTGACACTCAGGGTAAGAAGACCCAGATGACGGTCTCAATCTGCCCCTCCAATAAGATTACAGTTTCAGGACCATGAGAGTTCAAATTCACATAACTAAAATCACAACATTTAAAAAATGGTGATGGTTCTCTGGCTACGGACATAGAAAACGGCCTTAAATCAACCATTAAGGGCATATATGAAATCTTCACAAATAAATGTCAATCAGACTTATATTGTAACTTTTCCTATAATTCCTATTCGGTTTGATACATACACTGTATATTTAACATTTAATTTTCCAACGGTGCAATGCGACAAACGCCACACCTAGGCCAATGCACTAGACGATACTGGCAGACCCAAAAATAGTCTGGATCGATAGGCCTATTTAATGTAACCTTTTTCCAAGAGATGGGGACACGGGTGGACGAGACTGATCAGTCGAAAACCACGGGTACCGCCAGCAAACACGCTAGTAGTTTTAATAAACCAAACTGTTGTAAAGAGACTTTAAAACTTCTTGAATAAACAGGCTGTAAACACTTGTTCATTTCATAAAGTGCACCATCTGCACATGCGTCAACATTATTTTCCTGTGCAGCTCTCTTTTTTTTTTTTTTTTCTTTTTTTTACCCTAAAGTTGCCTAGAAATCATCATTTATTTATTCAAAGGCACAAGAAAGTGACGTTGTCCTTGAAGATTTTACACTCCACTTGGCCTGGCACAGGTGCAGACTATGTAATCTAGCCATTTAATCGAAAGCTTGTCGTATGGATTTCTGTTAAGGGTGTGCCTACCCAGCCGCTTACCCAGCCGCGTACCGCCTTCAGCTTAAGAGTATCTTCGTAAAAATCATTCTAGGCAAAAACTAACTTTCTGTACACAACTTATTGATTCGTTGATTAATACTTAATTAATTAATTTCTGTGATGACTATTTGCGTGTAGATACCTGTTTATAGTCTCTCCTTCTTCCTAATGGAGGACATGTTTTAGGCCTATTGTCAGGCTCTATTACCTGACGCTGACCTGAGAATAAAGAATATAGTGACATCAGCGCCAAGTTTAAAAATTAAACGTTTCTGCGCAGGCGCACCCCATTACTTTCGTTGTTATTTTCGTTCGTGTTTGATCAAGAAAGAAAACCGGAAGTAAAAGGAGTTGTTTTTTTTTTTTTTTTTTTTTTTACAAATGGAAAATAATTTGGATTGGGTATTGGTGTGTTACGTGGATAAAATTAGTATTGACCACAGGGAAACCCTGGATTATGTTGCTTTTGTGCTTTTAAATCGCCTATGCTTTGGATTTGACATACCCTTTTGAATAAACAGTTTTTAATTTTCCGACTGACCGTAAAATCACATGTACAGTCCGCCATATTTGATCCGTGGATCTGTAGACCCTTGGATCTTCTGTTTTGAATGACGCCATAGTCTGTTTCAATTCCCCATTAATTTGTTCTATATGCTGCCCCCGATACTTGGGTTATTAGCATGAGTTTCCATATTTTTTAAATACAAATAAATTTTTAAAGAAAAAAAAAACAATAATTACAGCGCATATACATGTAGCTTGTTTAGTGCTTCCTGACAGCGTCAATTGAAAAATCTCACATTTCATTGAATACAAATGTGATAATTCATAGCTTAATTAAACACTGAAATTTATTTCTCAATAATTTAACGAATTGAATGGTGCCTGAAGAAAGACTATGGTGCATCATTTGTATTCAGTTAAACAATTAAACTTTGAAGTCATGTCGATACCCCTCGCACCGTTACTTCCTTACACCGATACCCCCCCCCCCCGATCGTTGCTTTCCCGCACCTTTTCTCCCCGCATCAGTACTCTCCCTATGCAATTTTCATATTTCCGACATTGTTACTCATCGATAGTCTATTTAAAAAAGGAGGGAATAATTCGATGATTTTTTCAAATGAAAAATGCATCGGGTGTTGTTGTTTCATGTTGAAAAATTTACAAATGACCGCTGGAAACCCCCCAGATGACGTTGTGATTATGCTTTTTAAATCACCTCCACTTTGTATTTGAATAAACAGTATTTTTTTTAAATTTTGAATGACAATAGAATTTAGTTGCTATGCTTATTAACCATAGTTGAATTTAAAAAAAATAAAATTCATCTACCGGTCCTGTTTATATATAGTCGCCGCTCAAAGGGATAACAACTAGAAATCACTCTGTGAACTACTTCATGTATTTGTATTCGATCATGCCCGGATGTAGGATTTTGTCAATAAACTTCTGTCTGTCATTTTTATCGTTAACCCTAAGTTATCTAACTGCGCAGAAAAATTGACTACGAATGTCTAGAATGTCTAGAAATCATTTATTTATTATAAGGCCCAAGAAAGTGACTTTGGCCTTTAAGATTTTACTCTCCACTAGGCCTACCCAAGAAGTCTATACAACGTCTTGGCTTACCGCAGGTGCAGACCATGTGACCTAGCCATTTTCTTCTAAATCTTTAATGTCAGTGGATTTCTGTTTAGGGTGTGCCTACCAAGACGCCTACCGCCTTCAGCTTAAGAGTAACTTCGTAAAAATCATTCTCGGCAAAAACTTTCTGTACTCAACTTATTGACAGGTTGATTAATACTTACTATTCGAATCCTGTGAAGACTAGCTCTCTGCGAGTAGATGCCTGTTTGCAGTTTCTCCTTCCTAATGGAGGTGTTGTTTTAGTCCTATTGTCAGACTCTGTTACCCGACGCTGATCTGAGAATAAAAAATCGATAAAACGTTTCTGCTCAGCGCCATGTTAAAAAAATCGATAAAACGTTTCTGCTCAGGCGCACCCCATTATTTTCGTTGGTGTTTGATCAAGAAAGTAACGAGGAAGTAAAAAAGTTGGGGATTTTTCTACAAATGGAAAAAATTGAACTGGGTATTGGTGTATTATGTGGAGAAGCGTACAATTGACTTCAGCTAAACACTGGATGATGTTGCTGTTAAATCGCCTATGCTTTGAATTTAACGTACCCTTTTGAATAAACAGTTTTTTTCAATTTCCGACTGACCGTAAAATCTCATGTACAGTCCGCCATGTTTGATCCATGAATCTATAGACCCTTGGATCTTCTGTTTTGAATGACGCCATAGAGAGCATTCACATCGAGGAGAGCCGAGGTCCAGCAAGGCCGAAACCTAAATATGGCGGACGTACATGAAAGGAAGAGCGCGTAATCCTTAAATGGTCTCTCAATGAATTTCAATGAATGTTTTTGCTAGACCTCGGCCCTTCCCGATGTGAATGCTTTCAAAGTCTGTTGGAATTCCCCGTTAATTTGTTCTATATGCTGCCGCCGAAACTTGGGTTATTTACATGAGTCTCTGGATATTTTAAATGCAAATAAAATTTTTAAAGAAAAAAATAATAATTACAGCGCATTTAGCTTTTTTAGTGCTTTCTAGAAACGCCCAAGGACAGCATCAGTTGAAAAATCTCACATTTCCAAGACAAAGGCAATAATCCATAGCTTAATTAAACACTATTTCAATAATTTAACGAAATTCAAGCGGTGCCTGAAGCAAAGACTATGGTGCACTAATTGTATTCGGATAAAGCAATTTAACCATGTGGTCATGTACCACCCCACACCAATACTCCACCGGATCGCTGCTTCCCCGCATCTTTACCCCCAACATCGTTACTTTCCCTATGGAAATTTCATATTTCTGACATTGTCACTCATCGATGATATATTAAAGATAGGAAGGAATAATTGGAAGATTTTTTTCAAGTCGAAAATGCATTGGGCGTTGGTGTGTCATGTGGAAAAATTTACAAATGACCGCTGGAAAACCCCAGATGACGTTGTGTTTATGCTTTTGAATCACCTTCACTTTGAATTTGAATATACAGTATTTTTTAAAATTCAGACTGACTATGGAATTTAGTTGCTATTTATGCTCATTAACCATATTTGAATTAAAAAAAATACATCTACCGACCCTGTTTATATACAGTTGCCGCGCAAAGGGATAACAACTGGAAATCACTCTGTGAACTACTTCATGTGTTTGTATTCGATCATGCCCGGCTGTAGGGCGTTGTCAATAAACTTCTGTCTGACTGACTTTTTATCGTAAACGCTAAGTTATCAAAATGCGCAAAAATGATTACGGATGCCTAGAAATAAACATTTATTTATTCAAAGGCCCCAAAAAGTGACGTTGTACTTGAAGAATTTACCTGTTACCTGCCGCTGACCTGAGAATACACGCCGAAAAAAAAAGACTCAAAACATGTCTTTTCAGCCATGCCTTTATTGATCACGCACTTCAATACAGTGGAATGTAATGACTCGTAGTCTTTATGTTACTGTTGAAACTGAAGTGAAAATAAAGAACTGCATTTTTAATAATGAAAGAATAAGTAACAAGAGACTTAAAGACTGAAATACATGTATAATAAATGAATACACAAAATAAATAAAAATAGAGAGAGAGCTAGCGGCGTTCACGTTAACAAAAACAATGTAAAATAACACTATTAACACATGAACCTTCTCCCAATATATATATATATATATATATATATATATATATATATATATATATATATAATTGAATTTTAATGACGCATTCATACAATCCGTAATAATGAGGCAAGTTATTAATCGACTAAGAAGTAGTGTGGAAATGTTTAATGTAGGGTTTGAACAGCTTAAATGACTGCGAGGTAGAGCAATACCTTTAAATCCGTAACAGATGTAAAACTGGAGCAACAGCATGGGAGAGAGATTGTAGGAAATATGTCCAAAGGGAAAAAAATGACAACCACGCAACTGAGCTCATTTTGGATTTTGGTACAATTTAGCCTAATGCCTGTGTTTTAAGTTTTGGTTTATGATATGACAGTTAATTTTCTTATTAAATTGTTTGGGTCATATATATATGCTTTGTTTATAATATTTGATTTACTTTCTACATGCTTGTAGAGAAAGATTTCGTGGCAGTCAGCAACATAAAACCTTTTGTTTCATTTTATTTTGGTAATAAATTTTTTGACTTACCTCAAAGTATCAGTAATCAAAAGTGTGTTTTTTTTTTTTTTTTTTTTTATTAATTAAATTTTTTATGGTACATTAAACATTCAGGTTGATAAGANGGGGGAAAAGCCATCAGCCAAATTGACAAAGCAGTCATCTAAACGTCATCCCTGTGTCTCCATCCCCGTCATAATTGACACGACCAACGACGCCATTGCTCCTGAAGTTCTACAATCCACATACGGCGACTACTATAAAGAAGGCAATTGTATTCCAAGGACATTCACCATTGACATTTCCAAGTTTGTGTTGGAACAGGTCAGGAAGGACACCATTTTACGCAGTCATGGGTCTCATTTGGACCTCCACAGTTATCTAGTAGTTCAGGTTTTACCTGAGGGGGGAGCAGGGACACAGGCAACTGTGAAGTAAGTAAACATATTAAGATAAATGAACGTGGATTTTATTTAAATTTCTATTCTTTTTATTTATTTATTTATTTATAATTATTTATTTATTTATTTATTTATTATTATTATTATTATTGGCTATTTTCAAATTAAAAGCAGGGGAGATTTTGATATTGATGTTTTCACATTTTGAAATTTATTAGATAAATTTTTTAAGTTGATTTTTTATAAATGTTTACCAAATCCAGTTAACTTGTTCATGTTCATGAGATTTTTTTTCAAGGGTAAGCTTGAAAGGCAACTTCAAGATGGAGACGGTGAGGATTGAAACCCTGAATGACATGGGTGTCTATGCCTCAGTGGATGCCCTGGTGTCAGCAACTGCTGTTTATATCTGCATGCTGCCTTTTGAATGGTAAGGGTGGTACAGATATTCTCAATCAGAAATAGAGTGTCTGTTACTCTTAAATGTCGGTTGTCCTGTTGTAGACTTGTTGGTCAATGAAGCTTGTAAACTTTTAAAATCTCACTCCAAAGTTATTTTTTCTGCAAATTACATAGTTTTTGATGTATAAAAGTGCTGATGGGTGTTTGCTCTTAAAGGTATCTTTTAATTTATTGAAATGGAACACAAAAACATTGAGAATCTCATAATATTGGATACTGTTTAATTTTCAGTTTTTACACAACCTCTGCTCCACCGATGACAGTGAGTAAGGCATCTCTCACGTTTGACACTCTGAGTTCAGCTTGCAAATGGGAAACTGCTTCAGGGCTTCCAGCAGAATTATATAGCGCTCTGATTGGAGATTCTGAGGGTAACACACAGGTATGCCTCTGTTTATAAATTTATTATTGGGATATAGGTGGCCGAGTTATGTATAAAAATATATTTGGATAACCTGAGATATTATTAAAGATGTATCTGGGTATTCAGAGGTATTAACAATAATAATAATAATAATAATAATAATAATAATAATAATATCTGATTGTTTAGAATGCTTCTTTTTAACAATATGTTGATAGAAGAAATTACATGATGATGATATTAATAATTTTTATACTGAAACACTATTAAAAAAAAAAAAAAACAAGTAAACATCAAAGATATGCATATTCATATATTTGCACTGAATTTAATTAAATTCAGATTTAAATTGATATCATTAACCACCAAACAGAATATACAGCATGTTTCTATTCCATAGATGGATGAAACCTGTGAGGAAGACACCTGTGTTGTCTACAGGCAAAGTGAAGAGTACTGTAATATCTGCTTTGAGTGGACATCCCAGGGCTATGCCATGGGCTTGGCCATCAGCCCCTGTTATCATTGGTTCTGTCGTAACTGTTGGCAACAGCACATTGAGAGCAGGGTGCAACAGGGAGACATGATCCTGTATTGTCCAGTAAGTGGATTTGTGTGTAACCATTTGTATGACTTTTGATAATAATGTGGGTATTTATATTTATAAAACTATCAAAAATAATGTCAAACTTAAGTGTCTTAAAAGTCCCCAAACATGGGTATATGTTACCCTTTATATCTTCTTTTGTCATCCTTCTTATACCCATTAGGGTGTCGAGGGGAGAAGGAGTTTTCTATCTCTGGCAAGCTGGAATGTATACGTATAACTTGTGTTAATAACACATTATGAAAATAACACCCAAGTATTTACATTTCAGGGGTTTTATCATTTTAAGGTCTGAATTATCAGGGCTTGACACTAACTTTTTTTGATACTGGCTCGAGATATCAGTAAATATTGCAAGAATGATTTGACACATGACATTTTACTTGCACTTTGGGCCAGTGACCCCAGCGATTCAATGGCCCTTGGTTGGTTTTCAGTGGCCCAGGGCCAGTGGGCTGCCCTTAATGTCAAGCCCTGATTATATGCACCTTTACTCTTCAGGAATACCAGTGCTCCTCCAGGCTTGACACGGCGACACTGGTATCTTTGGTGGACGTCAGGACAGTCAGACGTCACCTGATGCAGAAACATGAGCTGGCTCTGAGCATGGAGGAGAACCTCAAGTGGTGCCCTAACCACAAGTGCGGCAGGATGATCATGGCTAAAGGTGACTTAGGCAGCATCTAGAACCATGGGCTAATTTATCTGTGGATCAAATATGGCCGACCCACTTGAATGCTTGTTACATAATCAACGTGGGGAATCTATTTGGTGTCTATTAGTGGATTAGATGCCAAGCTTTTTGGTGTGTCACCATATTTGAGCCGTGGACTACTTAATCCACTGTTCTGAATGGGGCTTTATACTATAGGGACTTAAAAGACTTGAGAAATTTCTGATTTTAAAATTGTTGAAGCAATTAAGATTTCAATTTGATTAATTGACTGTATTGATAAAGGTAATGATGATAAAGAGTTATTTAGATTTAATTTAATTTACAAAAAGAAGGTGCTAAAATGTGAATAGTGAAAACTGTAGCAAATAATTACCACCAGTAATACAGTATAATAAGAGGTCAAAAAGCATGTAAAGGTGTGGTAAAATTCAGTTGTTTTCTGTTACCAGGTCACGCAGCCGAGGAATCGGTGTCTGTGTCCTGTAAGTGTGGCACTGCTGTCTGTTTCAAGTGTTTGAAAGCGCCTCATTGGCCAGCTAGGTGTGACCTAGCAGACGATTACCAACGCAAGCTGTCAGTAAGAAGTAAGTTTGATGAAATAGGTTTTTCATTGTTTCTTATGTACTGATAAAAAGTTAATTGTACCTCGAAGTTCAAAAACATGTTGTCCCTTTTAAAACAATTTCTTTTTTGTTATTAAGTAATTCCATAAACTAAAAAAATATTTTCTGGCATGTTTTTCTTTAAATTGTTTTGGATGCTGAAG